AACTAGCACGAAACTCAGGTCAGGCAAGGCTTCCTGACAATTGCCTCCAACTATATAGTATAGTAATATATGTTTGTTAATTGCTGATTCAAGAAACACATGACAAAGAAAGCGGAAAAGGACTACTCACTATCTGTAAACAAGAAGCCACTTTATTTACAAATACAATTCAAGGGCAATTCACCAAGTGAGATAATTACAAAGAAATTAAAAAATCAGTTCAAATAACTTTAAATGCTGGCGAACTACACGATTTATTTTCTACACGACAGGTGATGATTCCCCAGTCGAAAAATGAAGTGCTTAGACTAGCCACTTCTTCTTGTATCTGCCAATTCAACTGAGCTTGTTGTGGAGCGACTTATATTGGCCGTTGCTCTAGGAACTTGATTTTTCGTGCTCGAGAACATCTCCCACCATGGTTAAGTAAAGTTGTAGTGAAAACCATTACCAATTCGATATCAGACCATCTGATCCAAATCGGCCACAAAGCCAGCATGGAAGAATCCTTCTCTATAACTACCGGGTGCCTAATAAATTGCCGAAATCATCGAAGCACTGCATGCTCCAAACAGCAGAGGCTATTGCAATTCGCCCTAGTTCTTGCATGCTATTTGACAAAACCAAACCCCTACAAAATAACTCTTGAAAATTAATCTACTGCCCACTAGTGACTGACTAGAGAACGAAGTTTCTTGAAATTCTATTAAGACGTCGACACCAGTACCGTTCAACAGGTGGGGCGTAAAGAAAAATAGTTGACGATGACATTGTATAGTCACCCCACTAAAATCACGAACTGGTCATGAGTCATTGGATCGTATTGCAAAGGCTGAATGGTCTACGAGCTTCCCTTGTAACTGGAAATTCCTCAGTTAGAACCCCGATAAGCTCGTACCATTGAGGATTCCCTAACGAGGATGAAGCAACTATCCAGTACCACATAGCTTTCAATGGTGCTCTAATTGACATCAACCCGTGAACAAACCTGAAACCAATCAAATATCTATGAACTGTTGTAAATCAGTTTACTTCAATGAAATAACAAACATACAGTCGTTAATTTGAACCACTGTATAGCGATTTCTTGAACATCAAAATGAAACATAAATTCCTTGGATCCTAGTGCTTCCAATATGCACATGTTTCGAAATAGCATTGGGTTAAAGATCTTAGGCGCGAATTCGTAATATCGTCAGTTTTGAACCATAGACTAAGTGACATTTCACAGTTGAAGGCCATACTGAGATATGTTTAGGAATATCATAACTTGTGCCAGCGTTAAATGTATCAGAATGGACTGATTACTGACGGAATCTCACCGTGGATACAAAAGACTCGTGTGTCACCCGCCAATTTACGTCATCTTTGGCGTGGAGGTGCCATCTGGCTATCCTAAAAAAAGTGCGTGTCTACTGCACAGCAGTTCGCTCTGTCCTCCTATCTAAAGCTGTGAAAAATGGCCATTGAAAGTGGTGCATATGAAAAGGCTAGCTGTCTTTGATCATAGTTGTCTGCATTCTATCTCCAGTGCTAGGCGATATAATAATAAGGTGAGTAACACTGATGTTAGGCGCTAAGCATCAGATAAGGCAATACGCACGCCTAACCACCACCTTCCTTAAAGGAAAGCGTTACCTGACATATATTTGAGTCAGAAAGTAGTTGAGGATAGCCAAGTTAAAACCTTGTGTCAGTCTATGGATACTTTAGGTTTTGAACTGAGCTACTTAAGGAGGTCTATACTGCTTACTTGGAGCCATAGAGATGCTCAGTGCCAACGCCTCGAGACTAAAGGCTCTAAATCTTTGTCAATGATGCAGACGCAATCACTCTTCATGATCCCACATATCCATTTAACGATACCACGCTCATTTCTGTTTAGCCGTAGATCTTTCAAATCTCCTTTGTGTGCTACACGGATTACTACACTTCCGTAGACGCTCAGTCAGTTAATCACATACATCAAAAAGCTAGTGGATAATCGATGAATTAGCACAAAGCAGCAGATCATTAGATGTCAGTTAGACCTTCAGGAGGCTAACGAAGCGAAATATCTTTCAATAACACTGGCAAATCTGAGCAATCATACCGTTCACTGACAATGACTTATTTTCACACTTGTACAACTTTAGTAAGTTTATGTCTAACCTAAGCGTATTAAATATTATCAGTAATTCAAAAAATTTGATGCGATTTGAAGAAGGAGATTTGGAACTGTATCAAGAACCACCAGCAAGTCGGATTGATTAATAAACAAACCGACATTGATATTTTCTTTGTAATTTAGGATCACAAGCTGGGCTGAATTTCAAGCGACATCACACGCCAAGCCCTGAAGTGCAGACCACATGACAAGCAACGGATTGGGCGTGAGTTCAAGAGTAACACGAAGAAGGTGATGTGGAGAGAAAATGAAAGCTTTTGAGCAGTCGTGCAGACAGACAGTCAAGTGCGACGGACAAAACCTTAGAACATAGTGCACCTGAGTAAAAAAAATCAAAAGATGACCCTATACGACACGTATGTTAATAATGCATGAATTTTATGGGATAATTTATCTGACACATCCAATTTATAAGAAAACTCAAGTGTACACACCATGGAATATGAAGTTGATGGAAAATTTTGTTTCGTTGATATCACCGTTAAACGCTAGATAGACTGTACACCAAAGCGATGACCAACAGAAAACTTATGAAAATCATTGGCTAGAATACTCCTTGGGGCTAGATTACCCCCCTCCCTACTGTTTGTTAGTTCAGTCAGAATGCAATACCTCCAGCTGTGTGCATCAGTGCACTACAACCGATCAGAAAAATGGGAATACAACCACTCGATAATCCAGTGCTGTGTTTATGACGCAGCAAGCTTGTTTAGCAAAAGATGCCTAGGTACATAGTCGAAGGCAGATGTGTAATCTAGGAAGGCACAACGAACACATTTGGTACCTCTATCTGTACTAGAGACACTATTATGATATAAAACCACAGTGGCATCTAAAGTACTACCTACTATGTTTATAAGCAAGTTGACGGGCAATGTTAGCTGATATAGGACCAGGCTGGAAAAGAGCTAGCCGCGGTCAAACCAAAACATGACTTCATCAGCCAATGAAATCCACAACAGTTAGTTTAAGCCACCCACGTAGGAAGGTGTAGACTTCCTGGTTGGGGTCCTCGGGATGGTAAAAACCAATGTTTGGAGACAATCGGTGATATGGCTCAAAATCGTTCTTAATGGTGCAGATGCATCCAATCCTTGTAACTTATGATTTCCAATGAAACTGTTTTGTTCTCCGTTATTACTATTCCTTTATCTCACACCTCTGTTTACTGACTATATTATGCATTTCTTCTACTTTCTTCTCTTGCTTTGTGTGCTACATGGAGTGTGGCGACTTGAACTGCCGCACATATGTGCAAAGTTCTTTGTCGAAAACCGACCGACCGAAGCAAGTTGATTGGGGTCGTTAAATCCTTTCAATGAAGGTTCAAGGTTAAGTAAGTGCAGCCTTTCCATTATTTTTAAAAAAAGGTGAAGTAATGGCAATAGGTGTGAACACAACAGTTGGTCCACTTGATGATTTAGACGTGGGAACAATTTTAATATCGTCCCAAGAAGCAGTCACACTGTAACTGTAAAATGACTCATCGAAAATACCAGTAAGAGAATAACATAAAATATCAGCACATTTATTGAGGATGATAGCTGACACACCAAATGGACCAAAGGAATGAGTAGGTTTCAAGGATTTGAGACACTTAAAAATATCGTTTGAGTTAAGGCCGGAGAAGCGGTCATTATTTACACTTGTAGCATTTAAGATCATAACATCAACTGGACGAAATATGAAGGACTTATTAAGAGGTTTCGCATGGATCATATTTTATCTCTGTATTTCTGATTTAATTAGATTGTTCAGTCTCTTAACACCAGAATTATCTTTCATTTTGTATAGCCTTTCTTTTTCGCGGCGAGGCTTATTGATTGGACACTAGTCGGTAACTAGTGGAATGTGTCTAGTCTTTTCCTTGGTGAAGACTGAATTCTATCAGTCAGGTTTTCAATGTGGCCACAATTCTTGGTAGCTCGCCAACACGGTGCACATTGATTTCATGATATGAGATGGTTGGAGGCAATCGACAGGAAGCCTCACCTGACCTAGGTTTAGTGCTACTTGACACTCACCAGTCAGCAAGGCGTATCTGCAGCCCTGAAGGAACTCATGTCCTTTCTGAAATTCGAACCGGCGTCACCCAGTGCCACCTGCAGTCAGGGACGTTACCACTGAACTATTCAGGCTAGCGTTTGACCTCCTGTAGGACTGTAGTGGATACTTTAATTGGACACTAGTAACTTGTGTGATGTGTCTAGTCTTTTCTTTCGTGCAGACTGAATTCTATCAGTTAGGCTCGCAATGTGGTCACCATTCTAGGGTAGCTCGCCAACACGGTGCACATTGATTTGATGATATTAGAGCTTTTTCACCTGAGATAGATAGATGGAAGAAGCGGTCATGGCTTTTTAATGAATTCTCTAACGGATTTCAGTTCATGAAGAAACCTGTAACTAACCCAAATCGTCTCAAACCAACACTAAATTGATAAATCAGATAATATTTTTTTATACAAATCATCTTTTAGTAAACCTTTTTATGAATAGTATACAGAAATTTTTCATTTGAAAAAAGGTGTACTTAATTGGGATTGATTTCGCAAAAAATTTTGATGATGAATAGAAAGGCTTCATGAACATAAAAACTTTCTTTCGTTTTCTTTTTTGTTGATTTTGTAAAAGAATTCTCCAATACAATATAAACAAATTTTTAAAAAAAAGAGATAAGAAAGTATACACCTAAACTCAAAAAAATATCGAATTTTCTTTATACTACTTAAAAACACCTATAAGTAGCATGTAATCAATTGGAAATACACATAATCAAAAAAATAAGAAATAAACAATTGAAGTGTGTGTGTACTTTTCAATATTATTCAATATTATAGCATACTTGTAGTAGTAATAATAATAATAAATAAATGGAAGCATTGAACACTGAACAGTAGACGGAAATTTATTCTCCTTCTCCAATTGACGGCTTGATTACAAGCATTCCTACCGTTGATGAGTAGTACTTCAGTTGGAGATTCTATCGTAATTTAATTTCGCCATCATAAAATAAAGTAAATGAGGGATGGGGATAGTGGGTGAGAGAGACAGAGAGGAGAAGGAAGAAAATTGCATAAGTGTGAGAAATTTGTTTTTTCCTGTTATTAAAATGAACAAATAAACAACGACAACAACAATACTACTACTTAATCTAATATACTACTTATACTATTACGGCTGCTAACTTGGTAAGCAATGAATGAACACGTAGGTAAATAAAATCATACGGGTCATTTAAATAAACAAATATCACTTGGACTTGTTGGCAAACTACTCATCTCAATAGTATGTGTCCATTTTGAAGCTCTTCAAAATGTGTAGACTTTGTTAAGTATTTTGCATAAAGAAGCATCAGAGCTAAAGCGATAACAACCACCTTTTTGTTTTGGTTTATTTTAAGTCAAATCTGATTGTCCTGTTGATTGATTGGACAGAGGTGTTTGGTTTGTGTTTATATGTCGTCTCCCGGTGCGGATGCTTCGACGCCTTGAGTCACCACTCACTCAGGACTACAGGTACATCTAGGTGACAAGTTCCAAATGAGACGAAAGGTGCATCCTAAATCCCATTGGTAGTCATTATTTACTTTATTAGTGTCCGTGGTAAAACACCAAAGAATGCTTCATCCTCCTAAACGACTAGCGTCATGGGCCATTTTCGTTCATTACAGTCGTAAAGAGAAGAGTTCAACCTTTGGCTGGAATAGATCGTAGACGCAAAGCCTCTGGCTGCAACATTAAGCGACGTGTATTCGAATCTCTGACTAGGCAATTGGTAGGTACGCCTTACTGACGCGTGCTGACAGGCAAAAAAGAACTCCACTCCACGACTTCCTATCGACTGCTTCCAACAACTTCAAAATTAATTCAGCGTTCCGCTCAATGACGAACTACATAAAGCCTGTCGATCAATAACACCGAATACTTGACCAATAGACTTCAATTGCATGGAGGATTTCATCATGCGCTGACATCAGTTAGAGAACCACTGGAAAACCTAGAAGTACTGGACAGCCGTTTCGTCCTGGTTTGGAACTCTTCATCAGTACACACCCACCCGGGTTCGAACCCAGGACCTTCTGGTTACAAGGCAAGCTCGTGGACCATTGAGCCACTGGGACCCGATCCAACGGTCCTTGAATTCTAACTTCTGCAAATTCACAACATAGCGCGACCATTTCGCAATGACTTCTTCGATGAGTTACTGCCTCATCATCAACCTGCTGTGCCCTACTGGTCACGGCTTCCCACTAGAACTCCAGGTTAACTGCCTGAATAGGGCCAGTCACTAGTGAGCATCAGATTAATTTTCAAGTATTGGTTTTGTAGGGATTTTGTTTGATTGCATGGAGGATTTCATCATGAGCTGACATCAGTTAGAGAACCACTGGAAAACCTGGGAGTACTGGACAGCTGTATCCCCGTCCTAGTTTGGGACTCTTCATCAGTACGCACCCGCCGGGATTCGAACCCAGACAGTAGTTACACTAAGTCCTAGAGATGCATATGGTTTCGGTTATTCAATAATGATGAATTATTGTCCAGTAATTTTACTTCTCCGGATTAATTCGTTTGATTCATGCTAACCCTACGTGAGTTTACACATCAGACCATAGGGAACAGTTGGTATTGAAAAGCTATCAACAAGAGGCTGAGAGTTGTAAACGTCTGTAGATAGATAATTTACAGATATTTGTTTCATCCGCTGTCATATTGTAACAGCAGAAGGCAAGACACGGAAGAAAAAGGTATATTTTCAAGTGATCAAACCGCTGTTTATTTCTACACAGTTTATATTCTTTAACCAGTCACTGAGCGTATGATTTTGGTTTACATTAAACGAAATGAAATAGAATGTTCAAATACATATATAGTATTCCGCTGCTAATGCACTATTGAATATGAGAATAATATTCCGTTGGAACCGATTGTCTGAATCACACCACCACACTCGAACCCGCATCAAATACTTTACACTGAAGGTGGTCCGATCTTCTTGGTGTTGGCGTCTTTGTTTTCTTGTCTTGCTGTATCCATTTCCGGAGCTCGCTGACGTTCACCCTCTTCTCTTTGTTTGCACTCGTGATGACCATGTATGATCCTTCCCCCTTTGGAAGCAGTTTGAGTGACTGTGGCGCGTATTCATCGGTTTTTCGCCTCACACTATCATATACTGCCTTCGTCTGACCTCTCAACAGTGTTCCAAGTAAAAGCATCTTCTCTGACGAAGCTTGAATGCCATTCAATTCCGCAACAGCCTCGAAGTCCTGCAAGATAGTCTCATTCCTCAAAGACTGCAGGTCATGGGCTTTTCATTTGTCGGCAGGCAGCGACACGAAAGCAAAGGTGTATTTTCCATTGATCAAACAGCTATTTATATATTTATGTACAGTGTATATTCCTATAACCAATCACTGAGCGTGTGATTTTGAAATAGAATGTTCAAATATTATGTACAGCATTCTGTTGCTAATGTACTATAAAACTTTTGGAATATGTAAGAATAATATTCCGTTGGAATCTATCGTCTGTATCACTCGACCACAATATAGTTTGCTTAGTGCTTACAATGTGTAGAATTGTTTGTAGAGTCAAGACAGGAACCTTGATTGCCATTCTAGCGGGATAGCAGAAGTACTGCTGATCGGAAATATCAGTCTACCGAGCAATTACAACTTAGTTTATATATATACAGAGAGAGAGATAGCGTTGATTAACCGCCTCGCATTATCCTCATAACTGACTTTTCAGATTGCTATACCATGATCACTTGATTTTCTTTTGATTCTCCGACTGACCTTCATTCACTGAGATGATATCACCATTATTTTGATTTGATTGTGTTCTCTGAGTCGGTTGTCAAGTTTTCTTTGTCCTTCTAGGCAATATCTTCAGCTCAGAAGGTAAAACCAAATCGAAATCATTCACCTGAGCTAAAACATCTTCACTACTTTTTCAGTCATCATTATGTCTTCACCTTTATTTATTTTCTTATGTACTGAATTTATTCACTATCAAGTAATCTAATTTCTTGATCCCCTACTTATCCCACAGGCTGTTTATCATATTAACCATCGCGCAGTCTTTCATCGTCATTCATCAGTTTTCAAATCTCGTTAACTTGGAATATAATATGCATATGATATAGTCCATCTAGCTGAAGACGCTGACAAAATTCAGAGTCTTAAGGACACCTTGAGCAGCAATCTTTGTGATATATACACAGGCGACTCATCAATATTCAGTATTTATTTCCCACACTTGCATAATCATTGATTTCCCGCATCTGCGTGATTATTGATTTTAATTACTGAATTCCCATGGTTTGTTAATATTTTTAAAATGTGACATTGATTTTCCTAACTGTATAAATACGGAGTTTTTGTTTAACATTTCGACTGATGTTAGAGACAGTAAAAGCTCTCGTATCAACGTCCAGTCTTCTTTCTTCGCCTTGCGTGCCCGGCGGTATTGTTGTTGTTGACGTGCGATTAGGACAGATTAGCCAGCGCATTAGTTAGATTCGCTCGTACTCTACAAGGTCCTAATATCTCATACATAACACTTCGAATGTTTGAATCCCGTCAAATGTAAGATGAAACTAAAAGACCGGATTACATTGTCTCTTGACTTACAGATAGGCAGGAGTGAAGTGGTAGAGAATGTGGATCAATTCACTTATTTGGAGAATTGCATCAGTCAACACCAACAGGTTGATCGCTGACAAAATCTCAGCACGGATACAGAAGGCTCGTTTGGCATGTGCTAAATTACGCCATCTCTGGCTTAATAAACGTGATATTCAGCTGTCGACCAAAGGGTATATGTACTGTTCAGCAGTCTGCTTTGTCCTCCTGTATGGCTGTGGGCGAGACGTGGCCGTTGAAAACAGCAGATACGAAAATGCTGGCTGCCTTTGACCATAGGTATCTGCATTCTACCTTACGTGTTAGATGTAATACGGTGAGTAGTATTGAGGTTAGGCTTCGGTTGAGTGCTAGGTAAGTGGGAGGGGAAATCAGTCGACGAGATTGTGAAGCAGCTGCATCGAGTGAGATGGTTAGGACATGTGTCACGCATGCCTATGCATTGGTCGCCCTCCTTCACAGGCAATGTTAGCTGACAAAGGATGGACCAGGTTGGAAAAGAGAAAGCTACTGGGGGTCAGACCAAAACATGGCTTCATTAGTCAACGAAATCCACAACAGTTAGTTTAAAGCCAGTGACGTAGGCAGGTGTAGATTTCCTGACTGGTTCGGGTCATCGTGGTGGTAAAAACCCATAGAGGACAGAGACAATTAGTGGTATGGCTCAAAATCGTTCTGGATAACTGACGCAGATGGCATTCACTCTTTGTGATTTATAATATTCAGTAAAATTCTTTTGTTCTTCCATATAACTGTTCTTTTTGACCCATATTTCTGTTAATTATCTCTCTCTTGAATCTCTCTTTACTCCGGTCTCTCACTTTGTACGCTACATGAAGGTTCAGTTTGTGATCAGAGGAGACAGAAATATTCTAAAAACTAACGCCTCAAGGTTGGCGCACTTGACGCCGTCTAGGATGGGGAATGGGGCTGGCGGGAAAATGAAAGCTTTACGAATAAACACAAAAACACGCTGAGATGATTCTTTCACCCTCGCTTAATCAAAATTAATGAAAACAATCGAGAATGTAATTACCTACCTGTAATTACTGTAGTAGCACTTGTTGTCCCTAGTGTATTCGATGCAGTACACGTGTAAAGATCGCCGAAATTCAATTTACTAACAGGCTCCAAATCCATGATTGAATGACGTATTAATCCAGCATTTAAGTAGGTTAACTTGGTGCTAAAGTAAAACAGAATGAGTGAAAAAATAAAGAGTATTGTGTGTGCGTGTGTGTATTAACAGTACACTAAAAATGTCACTAATCTGTAAATGTAACTGTTTAAATACACGGATGATACAGACAAATATGAGAGTTCGATTTCCCCCATCTTGCTATAGTTGTATATTCTAGTTTAAGAATCCAGACGGAAGAGTCGTTATACAAAAAGACTGAGTTAGAACACAGAGCTTTGCACAAAAGTGCAGCGATTCAACTTGTCACACCCCGTGTAGCACAAAAAGATGGACAAAGGAGAGAAAACATGAATTCGAAAGGACTGTAACAAGCAAAAATGTTCGGAAAATGGAATAAAATCATAAAAACAACACGACAGTTCATATAGGCTGAATACACCTGAGTCATTGAGAAAAATTTTGAGTCACATCACTAACAATAATCTCCAGCCATTGGTTCTTGGCATTCCAATGGCCCAAACCGCGCAGTTTACACCACTTTACACCACTGCCAAAGATTTCATGAACTGATGCCAAGTTTTGGGCGAGATAAGTGAACCACCCGTCAATACTGGTCATTCTATCTCAACAAAACCATCCTTTAAAGTAATCTTCAAAGTGAAAAACAAAGAACCTTCCAAAGACAATAACCTATCGTCTCTTCTGTACTGCTGAAGCTCTAGCTATTCATATAAGGAAACCAGAGGTCTGTATGCAAGGGAAAATTATTCAACCAATTCTAATATCATGCTAACAATCACTTTGGTTTCCGCTAACTTAATTTTTGTTGGTAATTCCATATTATCAAAAAAATAGATACTGAACAAAGAATATTCCTTCCGATAACTTCATTAACAGGCTCTACAGTTATATATACATTATAATGAATGAATTAGTGTTGTGAACAACATTAATTTTGTTTAAATAACATCGAATCAATCAGTAATTTTAGTAGATTACAGTTCAATAGCATCAACATAACCATACACAGTGAATATAAGAGGAATTAGGAAATATAATAATACAAATTCATGAATTTATAGTCCCCACTGAAGGCCACTGAAGGGCAATAGTAGTGGCTAGCTGGACTCGCCCCTTTTGCACACAAAGCACTGGCTGTTTCACGCGAATTGCGATAGCCTCTGCTGCTGGAAGTATGCGGTATCTGGATGTTTTTGGCAGCTTGTTTGGTACCCGATACCTGATGATAGAGAAGGACTCTTCAGTGCTGCCTTTGTGACCGATTTGTATCAGGTGGTTGACTAATATCGAACTGTTGATGGTTTTTACTACGCCTTTATCTAGCCACACTGGTAGATGCTCCCCAGCAATCACGAAAAATCAAGTTCCTAGAGCAACAGCCAATATAACTCGCTTCACCACGAGCTTCGTTGAATTGGTAGATAGAATTAGAAGTGGCTAGTTTAGGTACTTCATCTTTCGATTGGGGAATCACCATCGGTCGTGTAGAAAATAAGACGTGTAGCTCGCCAGCATTACAAGTTCTTCACACTGATTTTCTTAACTGCTTCTTAATTCAAGTGTTGGTTTGTAGGGGTTTGACTGGTTACAGGAATCATCAGCTGACATAGTTAGAGAACCATTGGAAAACCTGGGAGTACCGTACAGCTGTTTCGTCGTAGTTTGGGACTCTTCACCAGGACGTACCCACCGGGATTCGAACCCAGGACCTTCTGGTTACAAGCCTAGCAAGTTCGTAGACCATTCAGCAGCCACTGGGACTTGATCCAATGGCCCATGAATTCTAACCCCTGCCAATTCACGACATAGCGCGACCCCTAGCCAATGTCTTCGGGGAGTACTTGTCCTCACACCCGACCTGCTACGCCCTACTGGTCACGACTTCTCACTAGAACCCCAGGTAACTACCTACCTGAATAGAGCAATTCGCTAGTAAGCTTCTGAATTACTTCTCTAGGTATATTGCCCTTGAATCGCAGTCGTATATATAAAGGCTTCCATATTTTCTTTCGTTTCGATGTGAATCCTGATTACAACTCACTCATCAAACTATTCATTTTATTACACAATTCTAATACCATTATTCAACTCCTCTAATGCACAGATAAAGATCAAAAACTATGATGATGGCAACTCATCACTTTTGTTACTACCCTCATTCATGAAAAAAAACATGTACAGCTAAAGAGGAAAGTAACATCACCGCGAAAAGAGCCTCTTCGCTAATTATTATTATTGTTCCCTTGGGTTCCAAGGGAAACATAGGGCTTCAACTACACGCCTCCACTTGCTTCTGTCTTCTGCTGTACTTTTCAACTGCGTCCATGTTAATCTATACTGTTTCAATTCCTCTTCACACGATCTCCTCCATGTCACCCTTGGACGTCCCACTCGCCGCTTCCCTTTCGGGTTCCACTCGAGCAATGGTCTGAGGCGCGATGTCACCCAACGGCCTCCTCAGTGAGTATCCAATCCGTCTCCACTTTCTCCTGCATATTTGTTGGTTGGCGATTGGTTCTCGTTTTGTTTTTTCCCATAGTTTCTTGTTGGTGATTCTTTCCGGCGACCATCTGATCTTCAGTATAGAACGAAGACAGTTGTTGATAAAGGTCTGCAACCTGTTGGAAATATTCTTTGTGACCCGCCAAGTTTCTGATCCGTATAGAAGAACTGACTGACTTGACGTTTGTATCGAAAATCCGAATTTTGTTGTTGATGCTGAGTGACGAAGATTTTCAGATTGGTTTCAGGTTGATGAATGTGTTTCTCGCCTTCCCGATTCTCGATTTGACATCCTCGTCCGTCCGTTCCTCCTGTAGTCGAGACAATGCTCCCTAGATAAGTGAATGAAGTAACCTCTTTCAAGTCCCTCCCTCTTCGCTAAACTACGTGCTTAATTCCTGTGATTAATGTCTGAATCAGGATTATACGTGAAATATTTTTTTCACTTATGAGGTTACGCTACAGTTAAGGAAATAAATCCAAATGACAGAAGCGTTTCCTTCTACCTCCGGATTAGTTATCTTTGTCTCTGTATCTTGCTACAAAATTCTATCATAAGTATGAAATGAGTGTCAAATTTCAGGATTTCACCATGAGCTGACATTGGGAGTACCGGACAGCTGTTTCGTCCCAGTTTGGGACACTTCATCAGTAAGCACCCACCGAGGTTCGAACCCAGAACCTTCCGGTTAGAAGGCTAGCGACCTCGTATAACATTAAGCCACTGCGACGCGATCCAGTGACCAGCCCATGGATTCCAACTTCTGCCAATTCATGAAATAGCGCGACAACTAGCCAATGTTAACGCTGGCGGGAATTTGTCTTCACACCCAACCTGTTGTACCCCGCTGATCACGACTTCTTCAAGTTGGTTTCCAGATAAACCTCATGAACGTCTAATAATCTAACTAAATAGAATTATATTTTGTCTATTCAAATAGAGTCTTTCTACAAAGTTTGGAAGCTTGGTAAAGTAAACAAACAATTGAACGAAGAGTCTGTTTTCGGCAGGGAATTCATTCACACACTTAGCTGTACAATCGCAATTACGCATAATTAGTTTCGTATGTGTGTGGACATAGTACAAGAATAAAAATTTAGTTTGGACGGTTGTTTACATAATCAAAATATTTCAAAACAGTAATGAATGATCAAAAATGTAGCTCCGGAGATGGGGACGGAGGCGGGGTAAAGTTTAGACTATAAAAACAAGAAAACAAAGACTTGTTTTCGCGAAGACTTTCCAGAATCCTACAACAACAATAACAACGACAACTGCAATTCAGTTTCATAGCTCTCCAGACACATTCAACGGAGATTAGAATTATCAAATGTGGATTAATTTAGGAGGCAGCCACAAATATAAAGATGTCATACACAACTGACTGACTGACTGACTGATGTGAGCATCTAGATACCCCCTTACATCAGCCAGTAGTCTTCACTAGGCTGCCAGACAGTGATCTAAGCACTGGACAGCCGTTTCGCTCATTGCAGCTGAGCTCATCATCGGTGCACTTTGGTCTGACTCAGATAACAGAGCCTAATTAGTTCAGAGACTTGTTATACACACACTTGTTATATAAAGCATTTTCAACAGCTTTCTGCAGACTTCCATCAACATATGCCTTCGTTACCTTAATACTGAAGATTAGATGGCTGAAAGGCAGTCAGATAAGTGACAAGCCAACTGAAAACCTCCACGAAGTAGACCCTAATTGGATATACGTTGAGGAAACTGTAAAGTGTCATCACACACCAGTTTTTCGAGTAAAAATTACATAAAGACTGGAACATACTTGTTACGCGATGACAAGAAGTAAGTTATAGGAACTATATTTAACACAAATAAATCCAGAATAATTTTTTTGTATTCCTTTACGTTCCCAGTGGAACATAGGGCTACAAGCTAGAAGCCTGAAGTTTCGATAGCAGTGGTGTTTATTTTCACGGGATGGGATTGCTAGCCTCATGCTCAACCTTCTCCCTTTACCAGTTTTGTGACTGACTTAGAGAGGTAAATGAGTGCGTCGGCCGGGGATTAAACCCCGAACCACATACATGGTTGGCAAGCATTCTACTGGTGTGCCACCGATGCCTTGGGAGTGGTGAAAATTGTTAAATAATTCAGAGTTCGAGTGACTCACAGCTGTTAAGAAAATTAGACGAATAATGCTGGAAAAGAGGAAATAGTTCTATAGGTTACGTAACAACAGACAATATATTCTGACCGAAAAGGTTGAAAAAGGAGTAAGGTGAGTGACATTCAGATGGAAAAAATAGAATTTTCCAAGCAGAATAGAAAATACAGGACAACGCATTATGTAATCAAAACTTTATGACTTCGTTGCGGATGGCAGCAGTAGATTCACCACTGACTCCTTCTACTCACATGGATCTGGTTCGAACCGTTTCAATGTGATTAGCCTACGAAAACAGAGCAGGTCGGGTTTCGTTTGAAATAAAACTATATTCTACTGATTGTTTGAGACTAGTACCTGTGTACCTCTTATATCAACCAT